GTCGGTCGTGACCTAGACCTGGGGCAAAGGGAGTGGTCTCAGGGCACATGCTGTTTCTTTATCCTGTTTCATTTTCTCTCCTCTGCTCTCCCTCCCCTCCTTCCTTCCTTCTCCATCTGTTCTGCCATTTTTATTTCTGTCTCTTTTATCTTCACGCAGATAAATGTCTTTGTTTCACTTCTCCAAAGACCTCTCTTTCGTCAGCCTGGATGAACCACCTTTTCCAAGCTGGTGCCTGCTGTCCAGTTCCTTGCCCTCCCCTCCTCCCCCTCCTCCCTTTCCTCCTGGGGTTGGCCCACAGGATGGGGAGGGGGCTCCCCTCCCCTCCCTTCCCCTCCCTTTCCCCACTTCGGGCCTTTTCAACTGTACAGGAACTCTTCAACTTTCACTGTAAAATAAACAAAAAATCCCACCATTGTAGCTGTTTTGCTGTTCCTTTTGTCTTTTATTTATGTCCACCGTTTCAAGTATGAATAAAGTTAAAAAATCTGCTTTCTCTCTATTAGGGATTCATTCTTTCATTTTCTTTTCCACCCGCCTGTTTCTTTGTTTATTCTCTTCCTCCCCCGTCCCTTTCCCAGCACAGGGAGGCGGTTTGGTAGCCTGGAAGGGTGGCGGCGGGGTCTCCGGAGAGAGGGCTTTGCTTCGGTCCCTTGGCCCTCTGGCCCCCTGGGGGGCCTCTCTCGGGCATTTGCGGTGACCGTTGATCAGCCTTCGGGAACCGAGGACGGTGCTGGTCTTGCTGTCGCCCGGCGGCTGCATGCGGTTCTGTGCCAAATGAGCACCTTGGTCTTCGCTCCCAAAGAAAGGGAATTGGGGCTTGTCGGACGGAGGGGACAGCTGGGACAAAATCGGAGGCTGGGATAGATGTCTTGAGCCGAAGGGTTCTCCATCAATGGAGAATGCAGACCTGGAGGCCCCTGCACATCCCGAGGGCTTAGGATGGAGAAGACGAAGGGCCACTCTGAGTCCCTTCCTGCGCTGGGTCATAACGAGACGGGCTGGGTGGGGGTTCAGACTTACAGCTTGTAAGAGTCCAGGCAGTTGTGGCTCCATCAGTAAACCCAATACTGAGCCCAATACCTGATGGGTCCTCTGGAGTCTAGAGATGGTTGTGGTGTACTTTAAAGCCAGTCAGCTGCCACCCCCAAAGCTGGGGATGTTTGCAGGGCACAGGTCATCAGTCCTGCCTTCCTCCCCTGCCCGGCTGGTGGGAATCCCTTTGGCTCTTGAAGCCCAACCTAGAGACTCCATTGAGTAGCCATGTCTGGAGCACAGCTTCAGCTTCGGCTGCTCAATCAGCCCAGAGAGGGAGCCTTAGGGAGCTCACCCCCAGCAGCAAGTCTGTTCTGTGGACCTGCTCCCAGTTGGTCTACTTGTCCTCTAAGGGGGTGGCCGTACACAAAAGGGGGGGCTGCTTCAACCTTGTCTTGGTCACGCTAAGTCAGCCTTCTGCAAACTGAGGGTTGGCTTCATTGTGCTTCCCCTAAAGAGCTCAGAAGAACTTGGGTTGGGGATTCAGGACTAGCCAGATTCCTTCCACAATGAAGATTTCGTCTGCATGGAACCCAGGCTTGGAAGTGTCGTGTGTGAGGATTGCGGGCAGGGTCTTGTGGAGAAGCCAGGGATGGGGAGGCAGGGATAGCTTGGAGCAGAAGACTCTGGGTGGCCAGAGCAGAGCTTAGAGTGCATTCTTGAGCCAGGAGCTGGCATCTCCCTTGCTGGAACTGACCAGCCTGCCCTTATGGTCACCACCAGCACCTGCCCAACCCTCCCCCAGGTAGAAATGAGTGGAATCTTCTGGGTGAGACAGATGTGTCGCTGGCTGGGCTGAGCAACACGTGGCCCACCACTGATGGTGGAGCTTCCTTCCTTCCTGAGATGCGGGCCTTGAAGGAGGTACAGAGCCCCAGCCTTGGTGTGTCTGATCTGCTTCGGAGCTTGCCTGTGAAACCGACCATCTCTGCGGAGTGACTGTTTGGGGCTAACACCTTTTCTCTAACCGTTTTTCTTCTCTCTGCCTTTTTTCTTCTTCTCTTCAAATCTGCTTGCCGACTTGCACAGACCAGCTCTACCAGCAGCTTGAGCAAAACCGGCGTCTAACTAACGAACTAAAGCTGGCCCTGAATGAGGATTAAGCTTTCGTATGAGCCCCTCTTTCTAACCCACGTGTCTTGACTCACCTGCCGCTGAACGATGCATGAGACCTGTCTGTCTGCTGCCAGATGGGCTGAAGCTGGGCGGGCTTAGAAACTTCTAAAGCTCCGTTGTGGCATTTCCTTTTCAACTTTAAGACTGGCTGTACTCTTGGTAATATTAAAAAAAAAAAAATGAGACCAAGAAGCCTACTTTTTGGAATGGGTAGTCTTAGTAGCAATTCTGGTCTTGGGGGAGAATGTTGAAATTGGAGCCTTTTGAAGGATGCTTCCAGTGGGGCTCAGGGTGAAATCTGAACAGCCCCACTTTTCTGGCCCAGGTAAAAACACACAGGCAACAGAGGAGGCCTTTTGTGGATCATCTCTGCTCAGTTTTGTGGTACATTTGCATCGTAGTGAAATTGCTGTTGATGTATTGATTGTCTGTGGATCTGAAGCTTTTGTGCTTATGTCTGCCCTCACAGGTGTGTATTTAATGCCTCTCCTACACAGTGTGCGTGTGACTTAACACTAACAACTATTGTGAAAGTTGCTTTACTCTTCTCTAGCAGCAGAAATAATTCAGATGAAAGTTCCCTAGCAGGCAAATAGCTGCCTCCTTTCTTCGCTCTCCATGTTACCCCGTTCTACCAGTTCTTCAATCTCGGTGGAGTAAAATTGCTTCTGAAGTCCTTTTGTCAGCCATTTTAGTGCATGGATTTTTCTTTTTTTTTTTGATGGAGCTTAACTATCTCGTGCACCTTTTTAAAAAGTTTATAATAGAAAAAAGGAGCATCCTTTTCTTTTCTTTTCTTTTCTTTTCTTTTCTTTTCTTTTCTTTTCTTTTCTTCAGATTGGTTGAGTTAGCCAGTTGCCACAGCAAT